GCGGTGCAGGACGGGCCGGGGCGGCGCCATTCCCGCCCGGGCGGCGTGAGGGGGCTCGGAGCCGGCACACAGCCAAGTGCCATTTCTGGTGTATTTTTACTAAAAAACAGCAGCAAACTCTTGTGTTGAAATATCGTGTGTGAGGAGAACACGACACTCCCGCCCGTGCTTCCTGGATTTTCGTTTCACATCACCCCTTGGGTGTGGTGGGGCTGTACTCACTCTCAGGGTGGGCACACAGATCCCTCTGCTTCCCCTCTGTGTGAGGAGTTCTGCCATGTCCCCTTAAGGGTGTGAAGGGCTCTGCCATGTCCCCTTGAGGGTGTGAGGGCTCTGCCATGTCCCCTTGAGGGTGTGAGGAGCTCTGCCATGTCCCCTTAAGGGTGTGAGGGGCTCTGCCATGTCCCCCTGAGGGTGTGAGGGCTCTGCCATGTCCCCTTAAGGGTGTGAGGGGCTCTGTCATGTACCCCTGAGGGTCTCAGAGAACTGTTCCCCTCATACAGCCGTCCCAAATGAACACAAAAATACATATATGTTATTATAGGGTCGGGAGCATCTCTGATTTGAGACTGCGGGAGCTGGGCCTGCTCAGTCTGGAGAAGGGAAGGCTGAGAAGGGATCCCATCAATCCATACAAATCCCTCCCAGGGGTGGCAGAGGATGGTGCCAGACTCTGTTCAGTAACAGGACGAGGAGCAATGGCCACAAACTAAAACACAACTTCCACCTCGATGTGAGGAAGAAACTCTTTCCATGAGAGAGGAAAGAGCAGAGCCCTGGCGTGGCAGAGCCCTGGAACAGCTGCCCAGGGAAGGTGTGGAGTCTCCCTGAGGAGACATTCCAAACCCACCTGGACACGTTCCTGTCACCTCCAGGTGACCCTGCCTGGGCAGGGGGCTGGACTGGATGATCTCTTCCAAACTCCTCTGTTCTGGGATTCTGGGATGTGTAGATATTGTGTGCTCATGGCACACAGCAGCTCTCCTTCGTGCCAGCAGTGCTGATGGGCACCTCAGCGTTATCTCCAGCAGTGTCATACAATCAACAGGGCGATTTTATGGACAAACAAGTGGATAACTCCATTCAACTCATGTCCCTCTATAGCAACACACCCATATGAAGTTCTTCATGTTTTTAACATCTGTCACATGCTTGTAAATCCATACAGGAGGATTTTCCTCTTTCGGAGAGTGTTGGCACGTGTAACACCAGGGCAGGCGCTGCCTGGGAGTGGCTGGGCTCCTCGGGGTGATGGAGAGCCAGACCTGGTCCCAGGGCCTTGGTCCTGAGTGGACATTTGGTATTTCCTTTATTCCCAGAGAGCCACAGGTGTGTGAGCACATGAGGGTGGAGACCTGGGCAATGGTCCAGCCTGGCATCAGACTTTGGAGCTTGCTCTTTCATCCCTTGGAAACCTTAATTAGCTGTAGCCTTACAAAATTCTTAATAGAGGTCAGAGGGTGAAAACTTGGAGAGCAGCGCAGACTTGCTGTCATTCTTTTCAGCTTGATTCTGTCATGCTCTTAAAGGTTTGAGAGCCATAAGTCTCTTATCATGAACAATGTGAATTTTGTATCCACTTCAACTTTTCTCCTGTTCATCACCTGTAGGTCAAATGAAAAATATGATTATTTTGTTGAATGCAAACAAGTGTACATCCAAGATGGAGCTGGACCAAAATGTCACCTTATATATAAATATATATTTGTGATTTTTCTAACACATTGTGGTATAAAATGTATATTAGAAAAAGCATCATTTTAGAGAAATACCTCAAAGACTTGCCCTCAAAAATATTTCAACACTTGGTGTGTTTCATGTGGAAATGGTTGAGCTGTTCCTGCTCCGTGGAGCACTGAGCTGATGGTCTGGATCTCCATCTTGGGGTCTCTATTTACCAGGGCTCCTTTATTCTTATTTATTTGCAATTTCTTGGGAATATTTCTTTGCTGATTTTTGTGAGTGAGGGATAAGACACGTGAGTAACTGGTAGGAACTGGTGGAATGGCTTTGTCTGAAGTTGTAGAAAACTATAAAGATAAATTTCACACGCAAAGGAAAGATCAAGTAGGGACAGCAACATTTTTATGTCTGTTTTCCTTGCCCACCAATAAATGTTTTAACTGATGCTCACGACCTTGTTAATTTTTGTAAAGTCAGGAAAAAAGAGGATGAGATACCGAGGGAATTTCCTGTAGAGCTTTATTGTTTGGTCTTCAGGCAATTAAATAGTTGCAGATGTTTCCAAGTCACAGCAATCTCCTGGTTTGACCACCAGCAGATTTTACTTCCTTGATAGTGATTTAATTTATCAGTTAAAATATCAGCCTTTTTCTTGAAAAGGAAAAAGCTCATAGCCTGGAAGGAGGCTGTTGGTTACAGAGATTTGTGCTCCACCTTGCTCCCTTCTCCCCTTTCCTGCTCAGCTCTAGGAGCAGAGCTGGCTCTTTAGGAAAACGTCCTCCCAGTCTTCTCCACTCACCTTCAGGTCCAGCATCAGCTTGGATTTCAAAGTTTAAAAAATGGAGAAATGCTCCAATTCAAGTCAGAGCAAGGAAATTCACTTTACTGGCTCTAAATGAATCCAAGTGCAGAGCCAAATTAGTTCCACCCAAAGGAAAGAATGTGGTGCAGAGCTGAGGAAGGATGAAGGGACATTCCCTCCTGCTCCCCCTTGGACAGCTCATCTCTCTGCTCCTAGCACTGATTTAGGAGCTGGAGTGTGCTAGAGCCTGTTACCAAACAAGCTCCTCACACAAATTAGATTTTGGGGAGGAATTCTTCCCTGTGAGGCTGGGGAGACCCTGGCACAGGGTGCCCACAGAAGCTGTGGCTGTGCCTGGATCCCTGGGAGTGTCCAAGGCCAGGCTGGACAGGGTTTGGAGCAGCCTGGGGTGGTGGAAGGTGTCCCTGCCCAGGGCTCCTGGGCACAGGTGCTGCCAGCAAAGCTCCTCTTCTCCAGCTACCTGGAGTATCTGTGAGACTGGGCCCGCTGAAGTCACAGATGTCACTGAGATGTCATCTTCCTCAGAGCTGTGCCTGGGGCAGCTCAGGGAGTGATGACAGCAGTCACCAGGAAGCAGCAGTAAAACCATGCTGGAGAGAATGAGAGGCTGTGTTTGCCTTTCTCAGAGCTGTTTGATCTTCTGCTCTTACCTTTGCGCCTGCTAGATGAGAGCTGGGAATGGGCTGCTGACAGTGGGGCTTGGGGAGGGAAGAAGAAATGGGGCTGGACACCCTCCCCGCCCCTCTGAGCTCTGCAAAATCCATGGCACAGGGGTCCTCACAGTGGCCTTGAGCAAGGACAAAGGCCCCTGCTTAAATACAGCCCCTGAGCAAAGCAAGTGACCACAAGGAGGAGAGGAGACACAAGGGGAAATGATCCCGAGGAGGCTTCACACCACTCTTTCCCAGCAGTGTGACCCCAGGTTCCTGCAGGTTGCTCTTTATGGACTGGGACAAGGATTAATATTCTCAGAGCCTTCTTCATTTGGGAATTTAAACACCACTGAATATCCAGTAATTTATTTAAAGTTTCAGATGAGGCAACTGGAATAGGTTGTCCAGAGAGGTCCTGGTTGCCCCATCCCTGGAAGAGGTGAGGTTGGACAGGGCTTGGAGCAGCCTGGGACAGTGGAAGGTGTCCCTGCCCATGGCAGGGGGTGGCACTGGATGGACTTTAAGGTCCTTCCAATCCAAACCATTCCACAATCCTTTGATATTTTGGGGGTGAAAAATGTACCCTGTGCCTCTCAGGATCCCTTACCAAGTGTTTTTGTGATGGTTTTGTAGGTAGTTCCAGCTGAATATAACTGCTTCCCTCTGCAGGGGAATACAGCAGGAAGCTGTCTTGTATTTACATGTAAGAATGTGAGCCTAAAGTCTGACCAGTGATAAGCCAGCACCAGGAATTAGTCATAGACTTGTTTGAGAAATTACAGCCAACTAGGAAATAGCAACAACAACAAAAAAAAAACATTTATTTCTAGGCAAGTGAATCATATTGATCCTCTCTGCTTGTGTACACAAACCTTATCACTTGCAAAATTTCCCAAAACTATGAATTTATCCCCTAGATATCAGGAAGGAGCCTGCAGCCCCCCTGCCAGGGAATGGGTGAGATGTTGATCTTGGTTCAGATCCATCCAGAACTGTTGAAATGTGTTCAGAACAGTCTGAAGTGTAAGACTGAGCACAAGGCACTGCCTTGCTTAAATCTGGGCATCTACACCAGACACTGAGTTAGTTCTTTTAAAGTTGGTGCCATTTTTATGTTTAAATTAAAATGAGAATCCATGAGTAATGGTGATGGCAGGGGCAGGGAGAAAACCAAATTATTTCTGCAGGTTGGTTCGTGGTGGTCCTGCTCGTGTCGTGCTCCAATCTATCTCCTCCTTCCCAGACCCACTCAGAGCATCCCTGGAATCAGTTCATCCATTCCAAGGATAAACACAGTAAAACTAGGGGTTCCTTTTGTGCTCTTGGAAAATTAAGCACAAAGTCTTCAGTGAGCAGTTCCTGTTCCTCTTGGCTTTGCAAAAGGAGAGTGGCCCCTCTTTTGGGGTGATTCCTTTTTCCAGAGGGAGATCAAAGGAATTCAACAGGAAATCTCCTTCAGTGGAGGAGGTTTTCCTCAGGTAACAGTTGCTCTGTTTGGACTCATCAAGAATAAAACATAAATGAAAGAACAGCCCCTTCCACATTGCTCTTCTCCCACCAGGCTTTTGAGTGAAGATTGGATCTGGTTTTCCCTGCTTTCTGAAGGGGCCAAGGAACACAAGTTGCTCTTTGCTCTGAAATATGAGTGGACTTTTAGACAGAGCTCCTGGCGCAGGTGGAATCCCCAGGAGAGATAAGGCTTTGCATACTCTGCTCCTCGATGGCCTTGGGGAATGAGGAAAGGGAAAGAGTGGGATGAACATCTCTGACTAATCTGGAAGGAACAGAACGGTCTTATCTCCAATCAATTTACTATATTTAGCATGATGTAAGAACAGATTTTCCCCAAGTGAAAACAGTATTTCTCCACGTTCGCTGGTGCTTGCTGCGCTTCCTGTTGGCTGTACTGGTGTTGCTGGGATTTATCCCTCTGAATTTGGGAATGTGTAGGGCAGGCACTGCACAGCCTCAAACCCCCTTAGGAACTCCACCCTGCTTTTCTTCTCCCTTCACATCCCATTCCTGGGTCCCAGCACTTCCACACAGCGCTGGCCTCATGCCATGAACACATCAAACACCACTTCTTACAGAGAAAGTGATTCAGGGAACCTCCTCTTCTTGAAGCAGCTCAAGTTACATTCTCACCCTTTCTGGAAGATTCCCTCCTGAATCACACTTTTATCCTCTGCATAACCTTAGGAAAACATGTCACTTTTATAAAAGAACTATGAAATCGTTGCAACAAGTGCTTGGTAAACAGGAGCCTGTCCGCTGTGCGTGCCCCAGGCAGCAGCAAACCTCCTGAGATGGGCACAGCTCTCCCTGGGCTGGGTGGGGCCATCCCAAGGGCTTTGCAGAGAAAATGACACCTCGGGAGTGAGGTTTGAGGGAGTTTGATGTGATTTTGGATCCTGAAATGAAGCTGCCTGTGAGGAGGGAGTACCCCCTGCACTGAAGAGGGATGAGCACCTTGGGAAGCTCCCGTGATGGAGAGGGAGAGAGCTGAGCTGCTGCCTGGCCTCAAAGGGTTACTGAACTGGGTGTGCCACAGAGAAATGCTTTAGTGCCTGCAGCAGCTGCTGAAATTAGAATGAAATTAAATTCTTTCTTCTGGATTAGTTACTGCAAAATCTCTCATCTCAGCCTGTGTGAAAGTTCAACTGCTTCCTTTGTTCATGAGGTGAAGGAGACTTTTGTCAACTCCGGTGTCTGGGTTTTCATTATTCTTCTTAAATAAAGGTCTGTTTCTCTATTTATTAAAACTCTAAAACCTCTCTGTACTTTTAAAATCGGCTTTTAGCATCTGGGCTTTTCATTAAAGGTGCTGATAGGTCATGTGTCATCACAGGTGACCTTCAAGAGCAGCAAAGGGCAGGTTTTGATCCTGAAGGTGAGTGAGGGAAAGCTTTTCCACCAGCTTTGTTCCAGTCCCCCCTTGGCTGTACCCACAGCTCCCTTCTGTATCTCTTCCTCACAGCTGCAGTGTCCTGAGGGTGGTTTGAGGACTTTTCCTCTCTTTGCCTTTCCTATGCTGGCCAGAGAAGGAGAAATCCCTGATGCAGACACATTGTCAGCCATGAGGGGCACAGGTCAGCCCAGACAGGATTTCTGTGTGTGGGAATGATGTTCATAACACAGCTGCTCCTCTCCAAGCATTTGGGACAAGGCTATTTCTTGTTGGATCTGGAGAGGAGCTGTCTTTGGCTGCTCCTGAGCACCTGTGCACTCAGATTCTGCTTCTACTGAACTTACTCCTGATCCACACTGAAATGAAAAGCAAAGCATCAGTGTTCATTTGTCATGGAGGCTGATCTTGGAATGATCAGCCCTGGTGACTGTGGGGCCTTCCTGCAGTCTCTGGGCCACCTCCTTTGTCTTCCCAGCCGTGGGCAATTTGGGGCAGGCAGTTTGCTGTGACTCCCTGTGACAACACCTTAGTCCCCTGCCCTGACACAAACATGTTTCTGTCCCCAGAGCAGCTGTTTATGGCTGGAGTGATGCTCCTCGAGTGGCAGAGCTCCAACCTTGGTGGGGTGCAGGAGGCTCTCTTGGAGCAGACTGCAAAATTATGGGAGTCATTACGGAAAAATCCCGTGTTTTCTGCATCTTGGCAAAGCTGGGTTTGCACTCCTATTATTATTATTGCCTGTTAATTTATGATCTCTTTGGTACCTTGTAAAACAACTAAAGGAAAATTAAGTGCTGCCCTCAGGGCTGTGTAAATAAATATTGATGATGAAACAGCAGTGTCCAACAGTTCTTGCTGAGGCTCACTTTTTCTGGGCAGACCCCTCCTGTCCTGCCATTAATTATTACCCACGAGGAGGCACTGATTTATGCCAGGATGACACGGAAGCTGCAGAAGACACAAAGTAAAGTTGATCATGTCAGAAAAACAATATTTGTCTTGTTTTTTATGAGTTCAGATGCATCCAGCACAGAAGTGGAATTATGGCCTCTGCTGGTGGGTTACCCATCCTTCCCCACAGGAGCGGCCCTGGAGCTGTGGGGAGCTTTGAGGAGCACTGTGTCCATCCAAGGCCATCTGGCCCAGCCTCCTGCTTTTGTAGGTGGTGTCACTGCAGACGTGATGTGGCTCCTGAGGTCATTCTGGAGCAGTTTAGTGACATCACACTCGGCACTGCCAGGGCACCGATGCTGCTGTGGCAGCTGCAGAGCTGGGACTGAGCCCTCCAGGTGACTCCAAAGGTGCTGGTGTCTCAGAGGAGTGCCAGGCTTTTCCCCTCCCTCCCTGCACCTCAGTTCTGTGTCACAGTGACCTTCACTTCCACAAAACGTTTTCTCAATAACCAATTCTTGAGTTTTGAGCAGTTTTGCTCATATTTGGTTTTATACAACACTACTATCACCAGCAATCTCCCAGTCAGTCTGATCTTTTCCAGAAGATCAGCTCTCCAAACTGCATGGCTGCTCCTTCTGCCTCAGGTGACCTGTAAACCCCTGTGTAGCTTCACCTTCCTGTTGTAACATTCCATTAGATGTTTTCCACACCCCTTTTCTGCTTGAACTCCCTAAGAATGATGAAACACAGCAAAGCTTTTGACCAAGGCTGTTTCCTACTCTTCTGTTTTTTATGGCATGCACAGATGGTGCTCTCTGAGCCTCCCCAGCCATCTCCTTGATCTGCAGCCCCTCCAAGGCTTTCCTTGTCTTTGGCTTTTCCCAATCAGAATAAACATGTTCCAACTTTTACATTCTTGGAAATACGTTGTGATTTGTGTTTGCTCTGAGACAGGAAACCAAGCCCAGTGCTTCACTGGGAGTCTTGGTCCCAGATGTTTCCAAGAGCCACTTCAGAGCCACGTGAGGGTGAGCTTGGCCCTGGCTTGGCTGCCAAGGAGAAGCCAAGGAGTGCAGGTTTGAGGACATGGAGTCAGCAAAGGGTTTTGGCACCTGAGAGACTGGAACTTTTCTAAATAAATCTGCTGGATGAAGTGATTTCCTCTCACTCCATAAAATCCTTAGTTTTTGATCTGGGGAGATTTACCAGCATGTGCTCTGGCTGGAGCCTTTGTAACAGAGGGATGGAGGGTCTGATTCCAGGGCTGTGGAGGGCAGGGAGCTGCTCCACATCCCTTTTCCACAGGGCAGCTCCTGTGTGGCTTCCTGAGCCAGGAAATGCCTTGGAGATGCTGTTGGAGAGATTTTCTCTCCAAAACCCACACCAAACCAAAGTGCTCTTTGGATAACTTTCCCTTTTTAATACAGGCCAGATACCCAGCATCATTAAATAAAATAAATAATAAAGAAATCAATAAATATCATCAATAAATAAATCCAACTGCAATAATCCCTCTTTCTTTGTCCCCAGAAACTGCCACCCTGCTGTGTGGGAGCAGCCTCCTGTGCCCGTGGAACACAAGCCGAGATCTTCCCGACTGTATTTTCCAGAAGGAATCTGGTTTGGCTTCCTGTTCCAGTTCTGGGGTGGAGGGTTTGATGGATGAAAAATCCCCTGTAGCTGTTGCTGAGGGTTTGAGATACCAGGTGTAGCTGGGAAATGAAAGGGAGGCATGGCTGAGCCTCTCAGTTTGGGTTCCAATAATGATAATGATAAAGATAATTACAGCCACAATGGTTCAATTGAGGCTTTATCAAAGAAGAGGCGGTTTGATCACAGGATTCGGGGGTTCAGGGAGAGGCCAGTCTGTCCAAGGCTGGAATTGTCTCTCCTGCTGTGCAGTGGAGCTGCCCTGGGAGGGTTTGGACACCTGGATGGATGCAGGGCAGAGCAGTCAGAGCTGAATTCCCATCACATATTTACACCTCAGGAGCTTTCAATCTTTTAGTTACATCCTGGGGATGTGTCTGTTCATAACATCGGTATCTCCGTGGAGATATTGATAAAACGCTCAGAAATCTATTTAAAGTAACTCGGCAGGAGGGACAAAACAGGAAAAAAAAATATTTGCAACAAATATTACTCACGTTAAATGATGCCTGTGTTTATCTGTATTTTACAGCTCATGTTCTATATCAGTTTTTGGGGCCAGAGTGAGCTCAGCCCGAGCAATACAGCCATAAAATCCTCACGTGTGTCCCGGAAATATCTCGGGGCAGGTGCTACTGCCCCTGTGACCTCCTGTAACCAAACATCCCCGGCTCCCTTCCCTCCCTTCCCGGCACTGCTTGCTAAGGATGTGATAAAATAATCTGTTTTTCCTCCCTGTGTCCCGCCTGCAGCCGGCAGCATTTGCATGTTAAAAGCGGGGGGAAAGGTAAAAGGCACGCGGTAGTTTGCTAAATCACGGAATTTCTGCCCGGTGGATGGGCGGAGGAGGAAGCTCGGGAACATCTCTGCCCTGCCTCCTGCTCCAGGGTATTTAACCTCGGCAGGCAGGGCTGGAGCAGCATCTCTGCTCCCTCCAGCTCTCATCCTTGCCTCTCACATCCCCCCTGCTCCCTGCCAAGGACGAGCAGCGCTGGGGAAGATGAGCTGCAATAGGTACCCCGTGGATGTCAAAGCTGTCGGCTTCATGCTGTGCAGAAAACAGAAGGTACTTTATTTTTTTTTTATTCTTTTGTTTTGGCTTTGTTTTCTTCCTTAAATATCATTTACGGATTGGGAGGTTAAAGGATTTGGAGTTATTCTTCCAGGGATATGTTTGATTATTCCCCGTAGTATTGGGATTGGAGCCGAGGGGTCTAGGACAAGGGGACTTGTTTTTTAATGGGGTTCCAATAGCTTGTGTTTTGCTTTCTTTCTGTCACAGCACCATAAAATTCTCCTGGTTTCAACAGTGATTATCCATTTGGAGTTAGGAAATTAAGGAAATATTTTTGTAGGTTTACTATTTAATTTTTTAATGTGACATTAAAAGCCTCAACTAAACCACAGCAAATGCTGATTGCCTGAAAGCCTCCAAAATCGAACATTGTGATTAAACTGCTTTTCTTTTCCCTTTTCTTCTCCCAGAACTACATGATGTTTGTGTCCTGGTCAGATCAGAACAACATTCTCATCTACAGGACATTTGAAGACTTTAAGAAATTCCATGTAAGTGACTTTTTAATTCCTCAGATTCCACGAATCCCGTCCTGGGGATGGGAAGGAGCCCAGCCATGGGCTGTGAGGAATCACTGTTTTCTTCTCCTTGCTTTTAGAAAGAGCTGAAGAGAAAATTCCCCACTGAGAGTGGGTCACTGAGGAGTTTACCCAGGTTTAAAGGTAAGGACAAATCTGTGATGGACCAACAAATGAAGAGTGATCAGGGACAGTCGTGAGCCATGGCACAGACTGAAACCTCTGAGTCTGACCTTCCTCTGCAACAGATCTGGGGCTCAGTCCTGCTCCTCCCACGGCACCACTGAGTCACATCAGCATGTTTGGGTCTAGTACAGACTTAAAATGACCCAGAAAGGCTTTTTTAATAATAGCTGCACTTGGCAAATTAATGCTACTCTTCAAATATTGACCTAGAGCTTCTTGAAACTTTACATGGGGGAAAAAAAGGAGAAACTTTAGATGTTAAAAAATCGTATCAAGAGCTGTTAAAAATGACAGGGAGGCAAGGACAGTGACTTTATATAGTTTGGGCTTGGGCAGGAAGGGTGGTGGGTGAGGGCACCCCTTTGTTCAGGGGAAAAAATTCTGCTCCCAGGGATCCAGATCCATTGCTGCCCTATCCCAACTGTGCCCTTGTTATTTTGAAGGTATAACTATGCAGCAGAGAAAGGGTGGGAAGCTGAACAGGTGCCTGGAGATCCTGAAACTGCTGGAAACGTATTCCCAGGAGCTGCTGAAAACCGATGTGAAAATCTCCCGGGGTGAAGAGGTGAATCAGTTTTTCAAGGCACAGACTCAAGACCTCGATCCCTCCTTCCCTGAAAACAGGTATGAAATATGAGTTGCATTTTTTTGTTTGTTCATGAAACAGCAATGCTATGGGATATGGAGAGAGGGGAAACACCAGTTCCACTTCAGGCCAGTTCAGCTGGATGCTTCAATCCAGGTTCATTTGGTTTCTGATGCCTGAAACTTTTCTCAGCCTACTGCAGAAACAATTTTACCAAAATCAGTACTAAACTCAACCTTTCACATGAATTTTTGACATGCCCCTTTACTTTTCAGTGTTGTGATCATGCCATCAGTATTCAGAAGGGAGAAGAACCCCCAGCCCCTCTCCATCACCCTCCCTCAGGCGTCGCAGAGCTACCGCTGCATCGAGGCCTTTGAAACCAAAGACACAAAGAACAAACCCTTCAGGGTGGCTCAGAAGGAGATTGTGGAAGTGCTAATCCAGGACATGACTGGTAGGTTTGAGAGGATTTGGTGTCAGAAGTGGATGGGCAGATGGATTCATAGCTAGGCAAATGCTGAGGTAGTGTCAGGGGTTTCAGGTGTTTGCACATGTGTGCTTACCTGGAGGACAGTGAATGTCCCTCCTGTCTCTTGTGTCCCCTGCCCAGGGATTATTGTCATGTCTTGACTTGCAGGCTGTCAAAATCTGTGTGTTTTTCCTCTTTGTAGGCTGGTGGCTGGTGGAAAATGCAGACAAGCAGATAGCCTGGTTCCCAGCCTCGTACCTGGAAGAGCTCGATGCCTATGAGGACATCCAGAATGACTTCAGCTCAGATGAGGAGGGTAAGTCTGTTCCTCCTTCAAAACATGAGTTCTGCAAAACCCCACCACTTTACCACTGCCTGGAGACCCTGCCTGGACCTCTGACTCTTCTGGTTGGCTCTGTCACCACCCGTGGGTCATGGAATCATGGTTTGGGTTGGCGGAGAGCTTAAAGCCCTTCCAGTTCCAACCCCAACACCTTCCACTGTCCCAGGCTGCTCCAAGCCCCATCCACTTGTGGGCACTTCCACGGATCCAGGGGCAGCCACAGCTTCTCTGGGCAACCTCTTCCAGAGCCTGCCCAGCCTTTTTGTAAAAAACTTCTTTATATCCAACTTCCATGGATCAGATTAGGGTCCCTGAGCAAACCAGTCACTCTCAGGGACAGCTGCCCTGCAGCTGGGCTGGTCTCTCACAGGAATCGGATCATTTTCTCCACAAGGCAAATCCAACCTCTCCCTCTCTCTGCAGGCAGTCTGTACTTTGTGGTGCAGGCCTACGAGGCTCAGAATGCAGACGAGCTCTCGCTGAACCAGGGGGTGGTCGTGGAGGTGCTCAGGAGATCCCACAATGGCTGGTGGCTGATCCGGTGAGGAGCCTTTCCCAAAGTCCTGGTTCCTTGCTGTTCCTCCCCGTGTGGGACGCACAGGAGCCCCCTGAGCTGGATGTCCTCGCCTGGGGACGCTTTCCCCCTCCTCACACCCCACGTACAGCAAGGACCCGCTTCCCCAAGTGCTCCCTCCCCTCAGCTGGCAGGCTTTGCTCAGTGCTCTTTCCATCCCTGCCCTCAGGTACAACGGCTGCACTGGCTACATGCCCTCGCTGTTCCTGCGGCCCTACCAGAACCCTCACCACAAGCTCCAGACCATCCTGAGCTGTGGCCCCGAGGCCTCCACACCGACGGTGCAGCGAGCAGCGGGGCCCCGGCCCGGCCCGGCAGCAGCGCTGCGGCTCCCCGAGGGGCAGATCCCGCTCCCTGCCCAGGGCCAGCTCCACTCCAGAGCTGGATTTGGACAGCTCCTCCCTGAGCTCAGCGGGCAGCAGTGATGGGGACGCCCGGCTGGCCTGGAAAGCCGACTTGTCGCGGTCGCTGCCCGAGGTGGAGCAGGCCAGGAGCTCTCC